CAGCACTGCTCAGTGTTAGCCATTGTTAATCTTCAAAACTGACTAGGTTACTTTTAAACATATAACACTGTCAACAGTGTTGTATTTAACACTCAGAGGTGTGGACCCATATAGACCCATATCTCCAGTGTTAATTTAACACTGGAGATTTTGCTGTGCAGAAAACTCCAAAAAACATCATTTTGCACAACACTCCCCTTTTAACTCAGTGAGAACTGTGAGGAAGCGGTATATAACTCCTGAAGTGGCTGCACATTTTATTGATGTTTTTAGACAAACTCCTGTTCAGATTTGACCTGCTTCTTGTGATTTTATTACTGATGATTTTAATAATAGACTACAGTCTATTGCTCCACTGAAATTAAAAACATTAACATCTAAAATGAAGAAATGACTATATCAGAAGTTTAAAAAGAAATTACAGGAGAGCTGAGAGGAGATAGAGAAAAACAAAACCAATAATTCATCAGGACATTTTAAAGAACAACTCAAAATTTACAATAACTCAATTAAACGGGCAAGAACACTATATTTCTCAAACCTCATAACTGAAAATAAAAATAATCCAAAGTTTCTTTTCAAAACAATCACTCTTATAATAAATAAGGATTTCAACAAGTCCTCTGTGCCACTATCTAATGCTGCATGCGAGGACTTTGCAGACCACTCCACGAATAAAGTCAGTGCTACAAGATCCAAGCTTTTATCATTACATGATGTTAATCTCAATGGATCACCAGCATTGCTCTTACCTGAGGAAACACTGGAGAGTTTTGTCCTGGTTGATGCAAAGATGCTTGGTCGAGTTTTTCCCCAAGTAAACCCAACAACCTGCCTTTTAGATCCCATTCCCACTTCATTTAAAAAAAATATTTTATGGTTTCTTTTAGTCTGAGCTTTTAAATATAGTCAGTGACTCTCTTGTCTTCCATGCTGCCTGTAAAATGGCTGTGGTGAAGCCCCTTCTGAAGAAGAGTAATTTAGATACAAATGTTCTTGATAACCTGTATCCAACTTACCGTTTTTAAGTAAAATTATTGAGAAAATTGTTTTTATTCAACTGCAAGATTTTTTAAATTAGCAAAAGATTTAAAAAAAATTCAATCTGGTTTTAGGACAAAACCACAGCCCTGAGACGGCCCTTTTAAAGATTTTTAATGACTTAAGAAGTAACTTTGATAGACAGAAACTTTCTGTCCTGGTGCTATTGGATCTTAATGTTGCTTTTGATACAGTATACATCACCAGATTTTATTAGACAGACTCAGGAGTCTGGTGGGCCTCTCAGGAAATGTCGTTAAGACAGGTTTTTATCATCTCAAATATTTCCAGAATCTGCCCTTTCCTCTCTCTTACCAGCACAGAGGTGCTGATGCATGCCTGTATTTTCAGCTGGTTAGATTACTGTAATGCCCTGCTCTCTGGTTTACCCCAAAAATCTATTTGTAATCTTCAATTACTCCAAAACTCTGTGGCAAGAGTTCGGACAAGGACCAGGGGGTGGGAACACATTACACCGGTTTTAAAATTGCTGCATTGGCTCCCTGTGAATTTTAGTGTTGATTTTAAGGTTGGCTTATTAGTTTGTAAATGTTCAAATGGTCTTGGGCCTTCTTACCTTAGTGATCTACTTTTAAAGTATGAGCCCTTGTGGACCCTGAGGTCCTCTGGCTTTTCAGATGTTCCCCAGGGTGAGGAACATGACTTACGGTAGGGCCTCGTTCCACCATTACGGTCCTCACCTGTGGAACAGCCTGCCGGAGAGCCTCAGGGCTGCAGAGACCGTAGAGGTTTTTAAGGGGGGGTTAAAGACCCACCTTTTTAATATGGTTTTTAGATTATCTTACCAGGATATTTATTCATTTATTTGGTTTTATTCCAGTTAACTCTGCTTTTAAATGATTTTACCTGGTTATTTATTCTTTTATTCGTTTTAAGTCCTGTGTTTCCCCATGGGGGTTCATCATGCCAGGGTTTAGCTGGCTTGATCTGTTCTTATTGCCGCAGTGCTTGCCCTCACTGGCAAGCACTCAAAGGCTGTGAGGCGGACCCTGGGCTGCCCTGGTCTGGGTGGGTGCTGTGGTGATGCCCCGGTGACTGAGCTGGCACCTGGTATGAATGAGTCCCCAATATACTGTTTCCTCACAGCAGAGGCAGGGTGGGTTTTTCACTTTTAACAATCGCCGTACTGTTTTTATTACCTTGTTCATTGTGTTTGGGTTCGGGATGTGTGTGTATGTGAATGGGACGGGGGTGGAGGGTGGACCGGGAGGATTGAGGGGCTTATCATCATGTTTTTATGCATTTTATCTTGTTTATGTTTGAATTTATTTTAAATTGTAAAAAATAAAGTTTGAATTGAATTGAACTCATCTGTACATTTGCCTTTCCTTCAGCTCTCAAAGCACGAGATTCCTGCCTATTCAACTGTGGCTTACATGAAAAGCTACACTACAAGCGAGTCACAAAATATCAAAGCCAAACAAGCTGTTAATGCTGACTACTCGCACACTGGCTATGACCGAGGTCACCTGAACCCAAACAGCTACCAGTGTGGTCGAGGGCGCATCGCCACCTTCACCCTCACCAACAGTGCCCCCATGGATGCCTGCTTCAACCGGGTCCACTGGAAAGAATGGGAGACTGCAGTGATTCGAATTTTAAAAGACCAAAACCCAGCAGGTACAGCTTACCTGGTGACAGGGACTGCTTACCAGTTGACAGGGACTGTACCCTCAGAACACAAAAGAATACCAGTGCAGGGGATTTTTGATAATGATAATGAAAGGGACTACAACAGGGTGACAGTCCCCACACATATCTGGACAGCAGTGTGTTACGATCATCCAGATGATGAAGAGGAGTCCTTCTCTTTTGGTTACATAGGAGTAAATAAACCTGATGGCATTATCAAAGTCAAATCAGTTCAACAGCTGAAAAGGCGCCTGTCTGACCTCTACTGCAGCCCCAACTTAAACATTTTTGCTGATGACTGCTCTTTTCCAAATAGCAAAAAGGGTAAATCGGAGATGCTGGTGAAGAAGCTACTTAGAACAGTTCAGCTGCCAATGGTAAACCGACTCGGCATGTCTCCAGATGCCGGGAATCTTCTTCACACCGCCTTGAGCCACTCCGATGATGAGGGACAGTTGCATCCTACAAAAAGAGTCAAGTTCACAGACATCAAAGTAGACTTCATTTACAACTCTGTACAAACATGGATGACAGGAATGGAGGACTTGAAATTTGCCAGTGGACTTTCTTGCTTGTTTGATACTCCCTTCTATGGGAGTATCGTCGCAGATCATCCCCCAGCCGTGAGGGATGAGCTGCGACGCAAAAGACAAACATCCCAGGAGCTCGTCTGCAGACTTAGACCAGAGGTCCTAGATGACTGCTCAACCTCCTGCCTGTACGTAGATCAAGCTAAAGACTACTATTGCTCCACCGGAAACATAACTGTACGATGCTCGCCAACATACTCAGACATAACCGTAGAAGGACAGAGATGTAACAGTGACCACACCTGTGGTCATCATGGGTGGGATTACTACTGGTGCAACACTGGGAACAGCTGGAATTACTGCAGCCCCCCACTGCCACTCGGAAAAACAAGTAAAGGGTTATACTGCAATTCCAAACGTAACTGTGCTCATTATGGTTCTCGAAACTTGTGGTGTGACATTGATGACAGCTGGGATTACTGTACCAGATAATTTCTACACCTGACGAAATTCACTTACAGTCAGATACCATGTTACCGTGTTGGCCATCAGCATCTGAAGGCCAACCCAATTTGAATTCAGTCATTTAACCTTGAAAATCATGATTGCAAGCAGGCTTATATAAAAATGCCAGATGTGTGAGAGCAAAACTCTTCAACAATCAATGTAAACTCTATGTTGAAATAAAAAGGAAATGAAGAAATGAATGAAAGAAAGCTGTTGTTTATGTTTTAATAAAACATGCACAAAGTTTGATAAATAGATTCATTGAGACAAAAAAAAAGAACATCACTGGATGTATAACCTTCAATGGTTAAATAGAGAAAATATGCTTACCTGGAGTCAAAAGATCATTTCAATCTCAAACACAAGTCCTTATCAACAAATGACGGTGGGAAAACAGAATGGATGAAATGAAAGGAGTAGGACAGGAGGAAACTTTTTTCCCACTACGTCATTTTTAAATCCCTTTTTCACCTAAGGTTATTAGTGAACACCGATCTGTGTGGGATAAATTTTACTTTGGTTGCAAGGAAAAAAAGTTCACTGGCCAGTTTGGCAGGCAATTAATAATAGTTTGTTATGTCCCATATAATAGTCATCAGGCATATTGCTTCAGTTATATGAAGGTCTGAAAATGCCCCATGAACATATTCTATTCATTCATTGGTTGCTTTGGCGTAATAATCTCAGTGAAGAGGCAGAGAAATCTCAAATTGTTCTGAGATTTTCTTTCAGAAACTTTGATCCAGTTGAAGTATTTAAGCAGGTTAGAGTTTGGGTGAGTTTAAACTCAGATTTAGATGTCTTTAAAAATACAGTTTTGCAGAAGTTTTCAAGTTGTCGACAAAAATACCAAACAGAAAATTAGTTGATCATTTTGTTTTTGATTAGTCATTAAGTGTTGAAATATTCAAGCAATTTTTTCAGCATAGTCAGAAACTAAATGAAAGTAAATTGGTCATTTTATAAGCATACCTTAAGGGGTGTTCAGATTGACTCAATTGCATTCCATTGCACTGCTTCCTCCTGTCCATTTCGCTGTGGCGTGAAACCTCGTTGTGAATAATTAAGAAACATTAGCAGCTTCTGTTGTCTTGGAAACACTGTGCCGCATGACTCTCACACTGCAACCACGGACAGAAACCCGACAAAACTCCCACCATGCTTTCACCACACACACTACACTGCAAGGGAACATAATGGAATGGCAGAACACATCAATCTGAATGACCTTCACTGATGAATGTGCAGGCTGCCAGCGATTACTACTCCCTCTATCCCACGACCTCATCGCTGGCTTTCCTGCATGTATGGACCACAGCGAGATATGTCATCACTGCCACTTGACTAGATACAGAAGAAACTGGAAATTGGACTGAGAGAAGCGTCTCCGTGGAAATCGCCCAAATTGGCTCTTTTAAGAGTCACTAAAAACCAATAAGAGCTTGTTCTGCCATGTATGAGGTTCACAAAAAACTTTTGTACTTGATTTTTTAAATATATTAAACGAACCAAAACAAACATGTATGAAAAAATTACAAAAATATGATATTCACAAATATGTTTTTATTTTGAATGTATGTAACATTTAAATTGAGAACACACCATAAGAGTACAAATAACTAATAAATATTTACAAATTGAGAATGAATATAACAATGACAGTCATCAAATATTTTTAACAATTACAAATATTTATAAAAATTGATAATCATGTATACGTCACAGAACCTATTCCATCATCTTTTACAAGTTTCAACTGAAAAAAAAGAACAGCTATCGTCTCCTGGAATACTAGGGTTAGTGTTTTGAACTGAAACTGCCTCTTCTAAAGAAGAGACAGTGGTGCACGGTCCATCCTATGTTTTGCTGCAGGGCTCTATGATTTACTTTACTTAGTTTTTGTTAAGATATTCTAACTTAATTTAGCTTTAGTTTCATCTGAGTTTAGTTTTAGTTTGGTTTTCCTTAGTTTAGTTTTAGTTTAGTTACATGCCTTCTTTACTTTACTCGTCCTTCTAATTGGTATTATAATTTACTTTACTTAGTTTTTAGTGTTGTGTTCTACATGCACCTTCTTTGGCTACGCGTTTCAACATATCTGTGTCTTCATCAGGCCCCAGTGCATGTCCCCTCTGTGTCTCTTTATCTTTGTTTCTTACTCCTTGTCTTTGTTTATTTAAGGTCTTAGTTTCTTGACTCTTTGTCTTTCTTTCTCTCTCCCCATGTTTTCCCTTTATGCAACATTTAATTTTGATAGGCGCCCCCTTTGTACTTTCCGTAGTTCCTTGTTGAGTTTCTAATTTGTACTGTTCTTAGTTTAATTGTTGCCGGTCTTATATTTAGTTTTAGATGCGAATGAAAACCCTATCAGCTCCTGGCAGTGGCAGCAGGTGTCTCTCATTAGGTGCAGGACAAAAAGAGACGCTGCCTGTGTCAGTGAAGCTCCATGTCAGCGACAGGTAAAGTGTTCTTCTGTTCGGTTCTGCAGTTTTGAAGGAGAGGGGAACTGGGCCTGTCCTGCACAGGCTTCCCTAGAATCAGGCACAGCTCAGGGGGTAACGGAGGCCCGTGTCCCCCCCAGAGTCAGGCACGGCTCAGGAAGTAATGGCAGCCTAGGTCCCCCCAGAATCAGACATGGCTCCGGGGGTAACAGAGGCCATAGTACAGTGCTACCCAGTGTTGGTTCTAGGGAGATTGGAGCTGTCGGTGGAAGACGCAGGACAAGCTGCAGCCAGGGCGGACCTACCCCAAGTCAGAGCATCAAACCTCAAGGAAAGGTGGAAACATTTTCCCCGATCCATGGGTAAGCATGAGATTGTTATAGTCGCTTCTTTATGATTCATGCTGCTTCAGGTGATAATGCTTTTCTTTTCTGGTCGTTCTTACAGATAAACACCTGGCTGACTACAAAGTGTTCCTGAGTGGAATTAATCCAACCAAGTTTAAAAAATATGCTGTACGCCCGAGGGTGTAAACTGTGAAGCGGTTCCTGTCCTTCATGGGACATCCAGCCTGTCAGACACATGACTGGCTCTTCCTTGACGATGTTCAACGAATATAGAATAGAATAGAATAGAATTCAACTTTATTGTCATTGCACATGCACAGGTACAGGGCAACGCAATGCAGTTTGCATCCATCCAGAAGTGCTTTAGTGATATAGATATATTACAATATATATTAGCAATAATATAGATATGTAAGTATATTACAGAAATGGGTATATTATGGTATGTTATAATGTACACGGTATGAAGTATGTTGTGAATATTCTATAACTATAAGTATGTACAGGCTATGAACAGGATATAAATATGAAAAACTTTACAGAATATGAAATAAATAACTTTACAGAATCTGAGATATACAGCTATACAGAAATGGGAACTATGCAAGTTGTAAACAGTTGTA